TTTGAACTCTTCTTCTGTAAAACTATCAATATCATCCCAGTTTCTAATACGTCTATTTTCATTGGCAACTGTTCTCATACACTGTAGAAATTGAAGCATATTTGATATCAAATAGGGTTTGTTGATAAAATTCAAACCTCCATGCAAATTATTCAAGAGAAATCCATGAGGGTCAAGATGATGACCACAAATTCTCAGAAAGTCCGGAACATAAATATTCGTTACAACAAAAATGTTCACCCTACATGCAAGAGTTATTCTCTGAACATGTTGACGAGCATTACAGATTATGCAGGCACGGCTCATTACTGGACTCAATACATTTAGGCGAAGACAGTTTGGGTTATTTTCCATCTCATTGATATCAATTATTACACTGTTATGACAATTGAAACAAACTCTGGTATCATCAAAAATGTCTATTGGAGGATTTCCAGCAGCTTGTCTTCTAAATGTTGCAATTTGCAGAAAATCAACATTATCTTCACGATTTATACGAATTGTGAGTCTAGGAATGAAATTCCCTTCGCATACATAACATCTTACCCTATTTGCAAATGCCATAATGCGCACTAAATTCACTAAACAATTACTGAAAACGACTTAAAAAACACTCAGAATAAAGATATACGCTGATATGATATTTTAAGATACTGACAACCCGAAAGTTGCTGGATGACAGACACATTTATTGATATCATGATTTTGTTTTCTAAGCCTACTGAAAAATATTCTATCTGGTTGCGATAATCCAAATTCGACTTCTACGAAGTAAAACATACTTATTAATTCGTGACAACCCACGTTTCTAGACTAATTCGACCCCGCCGATTCCGAAAATATCAGTTGTCAACTTGAATTGGGACTAGAACTTACCCTAAAATATAATTTTATAGTTATTTGAGGATGTCTATCGATCTATTACGGTATGTATATCTTACGATATACATTACCTAATGCCACTATTTCTTCCAACAAATAGATGTTGTTGGAAAACGAGTTGGTTCATGTATTTTTTCAAAATCTATGATTGCAATTCTGAATTGATATTGAGTGGAAGAAAGAGGCTTCGAGATTGTTTCATTATTATTTTACTATATTTTTGATGTGTTGGATAAATGATGATTCCTCGGTACCTACTGATGTTCCTGTATTCCATTTTTCTTTCAAGTCTATACTGAACCCGGTAACGAATATCTACATAACCAAAACTCCAACTTTAGTGTCTTTCCGATGTGCATATACTAACTTCGATTCTAACAATATACAGTATGATCAAAAGATTGGAAGTTGGTTGGATAAAGGAGAGTTGCAAAATATATTAACGCGCACCTCTCACTAGGCGTTTGCGGAAGTTTAGTTTCATATTTTTTTCGAAAAGTATAGTCATAGGATTGAGTTGGGAAAAACCGCTGTCGACTTGGAACGCTCATGAGTTTTAGCACGTTTATATGAGTGGGATCGTTGATGAGTTGTGTCGTTGATGAGATTTTTTCGGGGGCATATTGTGATTTGTTTGATGTTTTCTGAAAAACATTTTCGAGATGTTTTGCTAGCGGACCTATAATAAGACCACTAGATTTTGTTTACGAACAAATCACATTTTTTGACATAGTTGACTAGTGACTACTAGTTTTGCGATTCGGAGCAATTTTTCGTGTTATTATGTAATTACTTTTCCATAATTATTTTCACATTATTCGATGTATAAAAAAAACTAGTCATAGCATGGGTCTGAAAATTCCCAATTTGATTGAAATATCCATACTGAGTATATTGGTGGAAAAAAATCTTACATCGACGGTAATAATTTCGAATTAGAGGAAGATGAAAAAAATAGTGGTTTTTGAATATTTTTTCGTGGTTGTCAATTTTTTCAATCGATGAATCACTCTGTATATCATGGAACTCATTGGGATACATCCTTCAAAAATATTTTGAATGTCTGGAATCAACCCGATAATACGAGGTGGCCCAATGAACTTTAGGATAGACCAATTATGCAATCAACAGCATTAATGAAACACCATGTATAATTATTATATTTTACGAATTCAATTGATGTAAGAAGAGCATACTTGGCTATAAATCTCATTTTGTAATTGTTATCAATTTGTAGCATTGATATTCAGATATTCAAAAAAACACATTATTTGAAATGAGAATCACCCTGTAATAAAAATCAGTTTTGGTCGAATACCTATATAGTTCTTGCGCCTAAGGGCATAACTATTACGTGCTCCCGAAAAATTGGAATTCATTTGTCCTATCTTAGAGATATAGGCCGAGAAAAATTAGGTATTCTTCAACTTCAACACCCTGTATCTCGTAAACTAGTCATAGGATTGAGTTGGGACTTGGCATATTCAATCAGTATGTCGAGTACTATCATTTACCAAAAATTGGGGAAATTCGACGGAACGCCATTTTTATATAGAAAAAGTGCGGGGTCCTTTGGTTGCAGTATCACTCTTTGAACATTATAGGGATTCCCTTTCGTGCGCTCCAATCGATAAAAAAAAAAAAAAAAAAAAAAAAAAAACATTGGAATTGAGACATTGAAAAAGTGTAGTTGTCATTGATCTATAATTTGATTTTACTATTTGAAATAGTTCCAATTTATCACAATCTTCGAAAAACATCTATGAGTTGATATCAATTAGTTCGTTTTTTAGCATTCTCCAATAAACATTGTCCTTAATTATAAATACAAACGAAAAGCAGACCTCCTAGATGTAGTCTATAACAAGTATACTCTCCTCGAGCATTCAACCGCCGTGGCATCAAGTTGATAAAATTTCTCAAGCAATCTTCAGAAAATTAAGTCAAATTCTCCTTGAAAGGCGAATCGTAGCTCTTAAAGAGTATCTGACTTGGCCGGACAAAGGTGAGAATGAGCCTCTGGAGTTCATCCCAAAGATGCTAAACAGGTTCTGAATTATTATTGGTAATCATTTTAAAAATTCATACTATCTTAAACCACTTGTATCTTCTTTTGTAAAATATATTTTGACGTGTGTCAATAAGAACCATTGCGTTCAGAAGAGACAAAAAGGAAATCTACTCCAATCCAAAACATGATAAAACAGAAAGTAGGAGAATGGTTCTGAATTATGGTTGATAAAAATTTTAAAATGTCAAACTTTCTTAAAACACCTGTATCTTTCCTTACAAAGTAGATAATGACGTCAATCAAAACCATTGTGTTAAGAAGGGATCACACTTCAATGATGAAGAAGTTTGACCACTCACCTGTGCCACAGAGCATTAAGAAATGGAGGGTGAAAGGTCAACTTTTGTTTCCCCCTGTATAATAATCAAGGCTTTAGCCTTTTTCAAGAACTATCGGCCAACAATTTGGTCGAAATTTCACCAGAATCGGATAATAATTTAAAAACTTACAGGGTGAAAATTGGCGACATTTTTTGCTTGGCGTTTTTTTTTTTTGATGGTGAGTGTAGTTACACATATTGATTGTTGAGTCAATAAGTATATTGCTAGCGACGAAGTTCAAATCACCCCGTAAATGAATAGAACAGCTAGGAATGTCATATCACGTCATATCACGAGCGGGCGATTCATCGGTTCCGTCATCAAGAAATGCGGTTGAAGCCACATTGAAGCTCATTCATTACCATTATAGTTATATTTAGTTGTAGTCCATAAACGGTCTACTTTGTTCAAGCTAACCTGAGTGAATAAATCTGTCCAAGTGTTGAAAATGTGTCTATCTACGATTCCTCAATTTAGAATCTAACATTATTATTTGTGGTCGACCGAATATGGGTATTTTGTATGGATATTTTGCCTTTTTCTTTAAAACATTCTGGAACACTTTGAGAAAAATGAATGGTTTACACTTGAGTCACTGGATGTAGTATTAGTTAGCTAAGAGTTCGGACACAGAATTGGCAACTGTTAGTGTTTTTGAATGTTTAGAATCAATAAGTTACACACCTTGCATTGTGATAAGAGCACCATAGTCGTTCCTCGCTTTTTTATTCAAAATTGTTTGAAATTGACAATAAATACTATGAACGTCAAAATTGAAATATAATTTCATAAACTATTGAGAGGGGAGCATAAATGAAAATGTCGCGCTGTGTAATGGATTGTGGCAATTCTGAATTCTCCATTCATTTACAAAACAGACTATTTGAAAAGAGAATATTGTTATAATCACATGAAATGCAAAACAAAACTATCTTGGAGAACGAGGAATTGATTGCAAAAGTACGTATTGAAATTGAAAATTCGAGAACAAAACAGAGGAAACCAAGTAAATTGCAACGTGATATATCATTGAAAGGCGTTTTTAGTACCGATCGAACTAGCTATAAGTATATCCATATGTGTTTATTTCATCATTAAAATGTTGTTACATGCAAGTGAAGTCTGTGTTCAAACCATATACGTATTAATAATCAATACGGATAATCTCTATCTGTTTCCATAGCGAAACATGAAGCCGATTTTTGAAGACAAATGACTATCCATAAGGAAAAGTTTTGAAACGATCAGACACATACTGCTTTGATTGAAAGGCTAGTAAACGTCATTGTCCACCGAAACGCATGTCTTTGATGACTACTATAATAGCGCATGGCGCATGCGTATCATGCCACCAAATCCTTATGGATATTCATTTGTTTCATATTTTTGGCTTCATCCTGGCACCCGTTATGATCCGTATTGTTTATTAATACGTACATGGTTCAAACCCTATTTCCATTTTCTATCTTCGGATATGATTGATTTGACAGGAAATCTAACCTCTAAAATCGTAACTGACAACCAGGTGCTACTAGGGAAATGGAAAAGCCAAAGAGCAGAATATAAGTGTTATTCTTTTATTCACTCAAACCATTGTATTATAGAAAATAGAAAAGGACAGAAGTACAGCTGTGTCCGAACTCTTATCTACCAATACCATCCAGTGACTCTAGTTTACACGACTCACATCAAGGAACTCTAGATCCTAGGACTAGTAATTCACTTACCTTCCTGCTGCAACATACGGAATCCTCGGCTAACGCCTTGCCGATCTCCTCCACGCACTCTGCGATGCGTTCGGCGGGGGAACCCCGAACGAGGCTCCGCAATACGGTCAGATGGCCGTAATGCGGCCCTTCGTCGATGGTCGGCAGCACCAGAGCTGACCAAGTGTCGTACCTATGGCAGAGACCAAATAATAATATGATCATTATACTGAAGTGATAACTTGGTCACACAAAAAAACATCTAATAAATACCAATGCCCTAATGTTTGGTGCAAGTAGTCGGTAACACCAACAGCTCTTACTGTTTGAAAATACTGATGATGCCTTGTCTTCTTCTGAATCTCAATTATTCAAAATTAAATTTAGAAATCCATATTAATAATGTTATAACGAAATCTTTGAGAAACCTAGGGTTCATTATGAGAATTACAAAAGAGTTTACTTGTACTAAATCTTGCATTACCTTACATAATTCATTGGTGAGAAGCCATTTGGAATACGCTTCTATTGTCTGGAACCCATTTTATGCTGTATATAATATTAATCGTCTTGAGAGTTCAAAAAAGTTCATAAACTATATCAATAATTACAAGTTTAACAGAAACCGATTTTACGAATCATATCAGAGTAATCTGATATTCTATAGAGAATGGATCATTCTTTTTTATACGTCCATGGGTTATCCAATTGTTGATGGTTCAAATGGTATTCAATTTTTCTGAAAAACACGACCCATTTGAAAAAAAAAATACAAAAAGGCTGTTTTTAATAACCCCGTATGTTATACCATTTCGGAATCTGTATTTACGGGCAACTTTTTCTTATAGTTGGTTATCTTTGTGGGGTTGTTTTTGAATCTACCAACGGCATTCACTGAATTAAATATTGTATTCAACAAAACTTAAGGAAAAACAACATTTTCTTCAATTAATAGGAAGTAAAACACAGACCATAAAAATTATTTCTGGGGAATGGTACATCCATGCGGATGAAATTTGTAAAAGAAAAAATTACAAATGTGACATAGTTTTATTGTAATTAATTTTTTTATAGAAATAAAAAAACATCAATAACTTTTGAACAATCAACAATTGGATAACCACATATACGGTTAGTTTGATTGGAAATTACCTCCCTACCACCCCACTTCTTTTGATTCATGAACACACTATTGACTCACCCTGTATATCGAAATAGACTAATCCAAACCGCACAACGATACCTCGAATAGTTTCGAAGATATGAGTTTTTGGGTCAGAACATAACTGGTCACCAGGTCATCCAGTATCTTGTACATGTACAGGATGTCCCTAAAAGATCTGTACAAAATTGCTTCACAATAGTATTTTTTTGCTAGAAAATGTTCCGAACATCATTTCCCCAACAAATAAAGTAAAAAACTACACTGAGAAAAAAGTTATGGCAATTCTAAACCATAAGAAGTCCATTGGTAAGCACCCTCTAATGAATATCAATTTTTGAAGTGATACCTCTGAAAATATTGATTGATAATTTCTGAGAAATTCGATTTTTATTCTTCAACTTTACCACCCTGTATCTCGATAACGGAGCAATTTTGGACTGAGGTGAGTAACTTTGAATCGGCTCATTTTGACTTCAGGAATATTGGCGCTGAGATTTTGTACAGACCTTTGAGGGACACCCTGTATATATCAAACGAGCGTCTCCCGACACAACCATCTTAGCACATCCAAGGTCAAATATTGTACTACATGAAGCTAAATATTTGCGCCAATTCTTGAAATGAACCTCGTTATGCTTATCTCGTCAATATTTTGGTATGAGACAAAAAGGACTCTTGAATAAAGGTAGCAATAAGTCGAAGTGGATTTACTTACAAAGAAAATCTAGTACAAATAAAATATGTAATATGTTCCAGACATATAAATGTTCAATACATCAATAAACTATTGATATCTACAAAAATATCTGTTATGAATAGGTTATGAAGAAAACCTTAAAATCAGTTTTTTTTTTAAAGACTACCGATTATATCTTCTTGCTCAAGAATACTTGTTTTTTTGAATATTAAAGCATCTTTGGTTCTTTTCTTCTTAGTAGAAAATAGACGCACTTGCTTGTCTGTTTTTTTATTAGTATTAATGATTTGCTTTGTTTCAAAATGAATAAGCTTTCCTTCATTCGTTGTGTCTATAATTTTATCGCAATTATTCAGAATATATCGATGTTGTTCTTCAGATAGGGACATTGATGCATCACACATAACTATTATTAATTCACACTCCATTTTATATCCTCCATAGTCCATTTCAAATATCAAATTATAAAATATACTCAATTGAAAATTATATGACTTCTGCGCGCTAACCGAATCCTTTATTGAAAAAAATCAAAATATTTTGGACAACTTGACATAATTGACATATCACAAATCATATTTGACCTTGGATGTGCCAAGATGGTTGTGTTGGGAGACGCTCGATAGTCAATAAACTCAATATAAACACCTGGAAAGGACCCTCTGTCAACGATAAGTGAGGCAAAAATATTGTACAGGCAACCCACAGTGTTTACGGATACCTATCTCTTTCTATCTTATGTTGGCTAATGGGAAGCTCTCGGATTATTTGAAATGTTTTCTCGTTTTTTGCTTTTATTTAAGAGTAAACGTGATTAAATAAAAATATTCATATAGGAAAAATGAAAATGTTGCAATCAATTATCATTCAAAAATTATTATTGATTTTTTTATTGACTCAAAAATGAAATTTCATTTTTATTCTTACAGGATTAGCAAGTCAAATGAATACGAAATTGAAATTATATATTTTCATTCAAATGTCACAATATATTGTACAGGGTGAGCAAAGCACAATGTCTCAGCACTATCAGAAGAGATAGGAAGACAATAGGAAAAATTTGAAAAGAGGTTCTTGAATGGTATCCAGTACCTAAGGTCCACTTTGGGCATAATTTCTTTAGGTTCCTATTTTTCCATTAGGTCACTGCCTACAAACATATCCCTATTAGAAATTGAAAAAATACAATTCTCAATACAATATCTTTCTCCAATGGAACAGTTTGGGTTTCTTTAGGTCCTAAGGACCCAAGTTATGAACGTCCACAGATGCATCCTGAAAATAAATTCTAGCTAGTGTTTTATTTTAAATAGGTGCACACATACTTTTTTTTCATTATTAATCAACTATGCTTAGGAAATGGAAATATACTGGGTACAGCATCTGGTTTCAATAACCTAGCAGTACCTGGTATGTCTAAATAAATAATCAGTTGGCAGGAAATGCTCTCCATAAAGCTTGCTGGTTATAGATTGAGTCCAACTCTCTCTACGAACTGCCTTAATCCATAATTCAAGAATGTCTGAATGGAAAACTGCAACAAATAATATTACATGATATGTTTATGGAAAAGTCATGGAAATATGTAACTTTGACAAATAATATAGGTATAGTTTTTGAACATATTCTGAGACTGGGAACATTTTACACCTAACTGATGATTATTTCAAGAACTATATTTTACAAAAAAATTGTCTTGCTTGTTCTTGCATCCAAAGGCGACACAATAAATCACCATTGTTTATCAAAACCTTCTCAACAATCAGTTCACAGTGTTTACATCATCAAATTCAGGCCTTTTTATAAAACAAAACACGCCTAATGAATAGATATTTCACATAACCAAAGACAATGAACTCATGTCTTCACTTTCTTGCCTGTTTGGATAAGAGAAAAAAATCTAAAGTACTTCAACTATTAGATAAAAGAAAACGTAAACACCAATCCACCATTAAACAACACGAGTAGGAAAGAGACATGTTACAGTAAATCATGCTATCTTTGTTGCAGCTGCCCCTGACACACTTTGTGCTATTCGAGTGAACGGCCGTCTCCCTTCCAGCTGTTTATATTGAGTTTATTACGTACCCCACGAAGCATCCGAGAATCTCGCCGGCCACCACCACGTTGTCCACGACGCGTCCGTCCTGATCGTAGCGCGCCGCCGCGTACATGGCAGGCAATAGCGCGGGCAGCGTCTGCGCGATGTCAGCCTCTGCGTGCAGCGCCAACGCGCACAGCAGCTGGCCGCAGCGCACGCGCACATCTTCCTGCCAGCTGCCGGCGAGTTCGCGCGCCAACGCCGGCGCCATTTTGCTTATGTTGCGCTTGACGAGTGCGCGGCAGCCCACGTTCGGACGCTGTTTCACGTGCGGAGGGTAGTGTTTCGGTGGAAGAACTAGATAATCTGGAAGATGATTAATTTGTCTTTGATGCTGATGAATGATTGATATTTCAAACAACTTATATTTATTTGCCAAACTGAACGAGAAAAACGGAATTTTGCCATTTTTCAATCAACTATCCAACAGTTTTTTATCTACTATCTGTAGGTTAATCGAGGAGGTGGTATATTCATTATTCCAATTTTTTTGGGATTCCCAAACTTAAGAAAAGATTATTTTAATAGCAAAGTCGTATATGTCTTGATACAGGATGTTTTCATTAATTAATCTTGAATTTCCATTTTCATGTTCAGATTTTAGTAGTGAATACCATGTTCAGTCTATATCAACTGAACATGAAGCAATGCTATTGTATCCGTTCAGAGGAATGATTTTTTTCTTCTGGTTGTTATCTTATTTTCCAATGATTTTAATATTATTCCACTCTGCCATATGTTATCCGTCTTCAGTAAGGATATGTTCAGCTACATTCGATTTATCGGTCACGTTTCTGACCTGCCCACAAAGTTACCACGTCAACATCTGATGGGAGTCCAGTCAGTCAAAAGATTCGTTTGATATGTTTACTAGTGAACAATTTCTGATTCAAGTTCAGATTTATCATGTGATATAGAGGAAGCAGTACAAATCCTACTATTCTCTTCGTCCATCCATGTTTTTATGGCGTAACTGGTGTATAGTGAAGGAAGGCGTTTCAAAACTTCCGTCAGTTTTGAAAAATGTCAAATTACATTTCAAAATTAGGGAAATAATTTGACTTAGGTTCTTATGTTGAGTTTATGAAGTAAATCAAGGATCAATATTAACTGAACTAAGAATCTTTGATGGCTGATTGGTCCATTTGAATTATTCAACTAATCAGCTTCTCAGAATGTCAAAATAAAATCGTATCTGCACGTGGACAAAATTTCCTCTGTGATTATCTCGGTGATTATACACTGCCCATCTAAAGTCCTTTCCATTTGGAGGGCTTCAATAGGAGGTAAAAATCAACTTTTTCATGAAAAAATCAAAACTTAAAGTTTCAAAACGGCGGCTGAACGCCATCTTCGCTACTTTTTTTTAAATAGAACACCCAGTATATCATTCCATTTTTGAAATTTGCTCATAATTCTCAACAGTTTTCTCTAATACACTTTACTCCTAAATTTAATTTTTTTCAAAATATTAACTAACACTTTTTGTTTACTGTGGTTTTGCCAGTTCTACTGAGTTTTCAGTAGATCTCCTGATTTGCATATTGATCTACTGATCTTCTGAAACATTCCATAATCTACTGAAAAATATTTTGACACTTATTTATTATTATAATTACCTACAGGGTTTCCCAAAAGAACCGGAACGGCCGAATATTTCAGCAACGGGTTAACATGAAATTATGAAATTTGGTATACGGGGGTAATCAGTTGTGCCGGATCTAAAAATGAGATTTGCAACGTTGCCAGTTTTACAGTTTTTCCCATAGAGCCCTCAACTTTATTTTTTTAAATGTAATGCTATGTTTAATTTTAACGCATTCGATTTGTCATCTCAAAACTACTATGACCCAATAATATCAAATTTGTATTCCCTTTATTTTTGTTGATATGACAAATGAACATTTCGTCAAAAATATTACAAAATTTCAATATTTCGAGAAATCGTGGCGATATGACAATAAAAATTAATTTATAAGGAAGTTTCCAGCAAGTTTGATCTAAAAATACCATTTACAACGTTGCCAAATCTACATGTTGTTTATACTAAATCTTCCTAAGTATTTATTTGAACTGCCTTTTTAATAGATCGGCAAACTCTATATTTTTTTATTTGTTTCTCGGGAAACTAATTCATAAACTTCTTGGTGGCTTCTCATGATCAATAGGGTTCGATTTGTTTAGGTTCATCAAATAAAATGCTCAATAATTGAAAAGGCAGTTTAATAAATAAATACTTAGGAAGATTTAGTATAAACAACATGTAGATTTGGCAACGTTGTAAATGGTATTTTTAGATGAGACTTGCTGAAAACTTCCTTATAAATTAATTTTCATTGTCATATCGCCACGATTTCTCGAAATATTGAAATTTTTGGATATTTTTTGACGAAATGTGCATTTTGTCATACTTACAAAAATGAAGGGAATACAAATTTGATATTATAGGGTCATAGTAGTTTTGAGAGGACACATCAAATGCCCTAAAAATAAACATAGCATTACATTTAGAAAAATAAAGTTAAGGGCTCTATAGGAAAAACTGTAACAGTGGCAATGTTGCAAATATTATTTTTATATCCGGCACAACTGATTACCCCCGTATACCAAATTTGATAATTTTATGTCAAGCCGTTGCTGAAATATTTGGCCGTTCCGGTTCGTTTGGGAAACCCTGTATATTATTATTAATATTTAGTCACACACACACAATCACATACAATTATAAATTGCATGATATTTTGGCAAGCCCTGCTTATATTAATTTTACAAAATAAGTAATAAATGTACATATAGGTACTAATGATATGTATAAACCAAGAAAGGACAATACTTAATCAGAGACTTCATCTGATTCAGATGAAATTTTTTTTTTATATATATCTCTGTTATAACAGTTTATTTTTTGTTTAATTTGTATTTTTTTGTTCATTTTTACCATTAATTCCTGTTTTTGTTTTAGTAACTGTATTTTGTGATATTTGTGAGTATATATGAATTGATAATTAGGGTATGATTATTTTTGTATGAGAATGTTTGTTCTGTTTGTTTCTATTTTGTTGGAAATAGGCTACTTTTCTGTTTACTAACTTTGGGTCAGCAAACTCAAAAATTTAACCTGGTAGGATTCTTCATACCTATTACTATTACTATCATATTGTTTAATATTTTTATGTGCTGCTGTATTTATAATCTTCTGCAAGATCCAGAGCAGTTTACAGTAAATTGATTGATTATGCATATTTTATCATGTTAAATGTAATAAGAGTCACCTAATTCATCCTTAAGATCCTTCTCATTTTCATTCTGAAACTGCATGCCAACTTTTTCCCATATTTCAGCAGCCTCCATTCTGGTTTCCAATACCTCATCATTGAGTCCAGTGAGCAATAAGGGCAATATTTTGTGGAAGAAGGAGTACCTGTCTCTATACTCCAGAAGCCATCTCCCTGCTACTTTCCCAACAGCACGTCTGACAGCAGGAATCTGGTCAAAAAGTCTCTCTGCCAAAGGACCAACTGTTTCATCTAAGCCCTTGTAAGAGCTATGCATCACTATTTCACCAATTGCACATATAGCTTCCACCCGGACTTTATACCGTTGATGGCCAAAGCAACTCAGCACAGGGGCAATCAAGACCTCAGCTTGATTGTGAAAATCTCTGGGTAAAGCTGCAGCTAGCTTTATGATAGTACTGCAACTTAATTCTTTGATAGACGGAAATTTGTCTTTGACAGTTTCACATAATATGATCACACAATCATTCAGAAAAGGTTTCAACTGAACTGTATTTGAATACCTTGTGATGATGTCATTTAAAAGTTGCAACATTTGCAAGCGAACTTCCTCAGATTCTTCTATCAATTCCACAGTGCCTATCCTTTCCACAATCACAGGAAATACATATGTGAGGTAGAAATCATTCAAGGGAAGTTTGTGGATGATGAGGAAGGTTATGAATTTTATTGCTTGCTCTCGAACAGCTTCAGTCTTGTCTCTCAATCCATTTAATAAATATATGTATGTCTCAGTGAATAAAACCCGCAGTTCTTGGTCAGTGAAATCGATATCTTTTGATAAATAGATCTCGGTATCCAGGTAAGTTTGTTTCCTTACTTTTCTATCAGAACTCTGAAGACCCAGGCATATTTTCTTGAAGATGGATATTTTCTCTTCTGAATCCGTCTGTTTCTCAGTAGTCATATTGCCTAAAAAACGAAATTAGTTATACTGAAGTCTTGGAATCCTGGAATTGTACCTTCAAAACAAATTAACTTCAAAACTAGTTCAAATTCAGAATTACTGCTGTGCGCTGTGCTGTGACTGCTGTGAGTCCTGTCACTCCTGTGTGCAGTGTGCACTGTTCGTGCACTGTTGCCAGCTGCTGAACATGAAATCGCAAGTCGCAAAAAGTTAGGAAAAAAACCGCTAGAAGTCGCTAAAGCGAGTGAAGCGAGCAAAAAGACCGCCGCAGGTGAAATTTCTGAAAATTTTTCGTGATTTAGAGACATTTTTCATTATATTTCTCCTTTTTCATTTAGTTTATAACATCAGATCAGGAATCGTAAAAAACTTTATTTATTCAAAATCTGTTCAGAATAAAAAAAACGAAATAAATATAGATTGATTTTCCTATACAATTTCATTCGATCGTATTTGAGGTTTGTCTTTGATCTTATCACACATCGATAAATCTGTGAAACCATTACACTACCCAAACCGATTTTTTACACCTCGACACGTGTTTCGCTCACTGAACTATAACCCTACAAAGTATAGGTCGCGTCAGAGATCAGTCACCCACTGTGCACGATGACCGACCCTGGAGGCAAACATAGGTCGCGTGCAAGAACTGTCAGATGACCGACCCTGGAGGCAAAACATATTTGTTTACAAGTGATCGAAATAGTTTTCCACAATTATTTTGGCATATGAATCGTATTTTCCGCTATTGATCAATTCGCTAATGCCATCACATTGTGCTGTTGTAAAATGCACAAAAACTGCAGCGGAAGATGAAGAAATCCGGATGGTACATTATGATTCAAAAGTAAGTACCTACTATAGTCACTCACATAGTTTTCATTTTTGAAATTTGGTTATTTCTCTGATTTCTCATCGGAATTCCTTCTGCAATAGGATCAGCTGATAGAAATATACCTGAAATTTCTAGAATAATGCAAGAAGATTGGATTCATACAATCAATCGGTAGGACTGGTCTGACATGCTGACGATCGTGTGTGTTGTAGACATTTTCCATCTATCAGCAGCATTAGCTTGTATTGCAGAAGTGGCAGAAGGCAGAAGGAATTTCAATAAGGAATGACAATAACATTTCATAATGCTATGTGAGATTACTATTTACCTGAAAAATCATATTCACTAGTCTCTTGCTGCATTTTTTGTGCATTGTACAACAGCACAATGCGAAGGCATGCTTGAATTAATGAATAACGCAAGAAACACGATTCGTATGCCAAAATATTGTGAAAAACTATTTCAACCTTTTGATTCCTCTATAACCAAATAAAAAAGTGAGGTTGTGTTTCAATAATTCACAGAAGAATGAGGTTGTGTTTCAATATTTTGCCTCCAGGGTCGGTCTTCGTGCACGCGACCTATATTGAAACACAACCTCACTCTTCTGTGAATTATTGAAACACAACCTCACTTTTTTATTTGTTTACAGAGGAATTAAGATGCCTAGAGGAATCAAAAAGTTGAAATAGTTTTTCACAATATGTTGGCATACGAATCGTGTTTCTTGCGTTATTCATTAATTCAAGCATGCCTTCGCATTGTGCTGTTGTACAATGCACAAAAAATGCAGCAAGAGACTAAGGAATATGATTTTTCAGGTGAATAGTAATCTCACATAGTTATATTCAAATTGATTTTTGCTCACCAATATGAAATGATTTGTCAAAATTTAATACTTAATGTTCTCAAGTATTATATTATTTATTAGTTTATCATAATTGTATAGTTTTAGGTATTATTGTTAACTATACTTCCTTATACCAGAACTTGTTTCTGACTGGAAGTAACATTCTCAATAAATAAATAAATAAAATAAAAATAAATAAATGGCGCTAAAATATATAGGGCGTTCCATTTAAAATGTTTTGCTCCCTGTATATCCTCTGGAATACTGAAAATATATCAGTTGATTCGATGAGGAAAAAAATCCCCTCTAAGGCTGTTTTTTTTATTTTTTACTACTGTCAAAAATAATAAAGTTATAGGGGGTGGTACTTCATAACGTGTCACCCGGTACAGCCTTTGTTACAATTTACATATTTCATATACACTGTTATGCCGGCCGCTTCTTGCTTTTCCATTCATGTCAGAGGTTTCTATTGGATGGAAATTCTGAAGGATCAAATTTGTTCGTTCGTGTACTGTCAGTATAGGTCGCGTGCACGAAGACCGACCCTGGAGGCAAAATATTGAAACACAACCTCATTCTTCTGTGAATTATTGAAACACAACCTCACTTTTTTATTTGCATGCCTTCGCATTGTGCTGTTGTACAATGCACAAAAAATGCAGCAAGAGACTAGGGAATACGATTTTTCAGGTAAATAGTAATCTCACATAGTTAGCATTATGAAATGTTGTCATTCCTTATTAAAATTCCTTCTGTCTTCTGCCACTTCTGCAATACAATGAACTCAACATTCAGTTCATTACTGCAATACAAGCTGATACTGCTAATAGATTGAAAATGTTTACAATACACACGAACGTCAGCATGTCAGACCAGTCCTCCCGATTGATTGTATGAATCCAATCTTCTTGCATTATTCTAGAAATTTCAGGTATATTTCTATTAGCTCCTATTGCAGAAGGAATTCCGATGAGAAATCAGAGAAATAACCAAATTTCGAAAATAATGCTGCTATTCTGCACACCAGTACAGACTCTGCAGGCTATGTATAATTCAATGTTTAAAGAATGTAAGGAAATCGGTATTCTGCCAGTGCGATTTATATATTTTCTATAAAATGACATTACATAGTATGTAACATTCCTATGGACCCGATTTTCTCACTGTAATTGTTAAGTTACTTATGTAGGTAATAATATGGATGTTATAAAAAAATCTTCATATATGTTTGGATCCATCGTTCTAGAAGAAGCTGGAAGGTATGAGAAATGAAAATTTTCACACATTAATAATAGCAATTAGTCAATGATACAATTGATATAGATAATTCCCATTCTGAAATATCCATTTTCTTTCGAATCTATCAAAACTATATGCTTTTCCATGCACTTCGGATCTTCTATCCTCTACTGCCGCGGTGAAGGGTACATCCATATATCTTTCTCTGTCTTTATTTTCATGAAGAAGTGGCGTCTCATCTCACTTGCGAAAAGGGGCCATAGTTTGTGAAACAATTTGTTGAAAGTATTTCTCCATATACTTAACAAAGGGTATATGTACTTGTTGGTTAGAATGGGGGAAATGGAATAGATGAAACGACTCGCTTCCATTTTTGCAATTCTCCACTACACAATTAGACATTTCAATTTTTGAAAACCTGAATTTTCAAATAATTTAATGTCATGTCCGTTCATGAACTGTCAGTGCCCGCCAAATTGTTCATGTCATTTCAAATTTTTTAGGGTTATGCCTTCTGTCACTGCTTGTCATAGTGTCCGTACTCTTATTACAGCAAAAGTGTCAAATACATACAGGGACTCTAATCAAGGCGCAAATTCCGACACGGGGTTGAGTGTTTGGCAGAATACCATTCTCTGTTAAATTAACAGAATCTGTAAGGATGTCGGTTACAGAGTCTGTATACTACATACCTTACATAAATATTTAAGTTACATAGATGGTCGGCAGAATAGCAGCAGAAAACTATATGTGAGTGACTACAGTAGGTACTTACTTTTAAATCATAATGTACCATCCGGATTCCTTCATCTTCCGCTGCAGTTTTTGTGCATTTTACAACAGCACAATGTGATGGCATGAGCGAATTGATGAATAGCGGAAAAATACGATTCATATGCCAAAATAATTGTGGAAAACTATTTCCATCACTTGTAAACAAATAAGAAAAGTGACATTGTGTTTCAATGTTTTGCCTCCAGCGTCGGTCATCTGACAGTTCTTGCACGCAACCCATTGTTCAGTGGTTTCGCTAGCTATGTCAGCATCTTCAGGAGAAGATTAAAACTAAATGCTTTATCCTAGTGGACCACTTATATACTAAGAATATGTCCACCCATCCGTGAATAAACAATAACCGCCAAGTTAATGTTATTCATGGTTGAGTTCACATGTTATATCACCAAACTATACAGAGGGCTTAATGGGATTGGTCTATTATCCTTCTTCATTACTCTATTACGATTCTAAAATATCTCTAAGCTTTCATATGCATCTAATTCTCTAATATTATCAACTTGCTTAACTAATTTAGGGCTATCAATATGTGTGTTATGATTGGGTTTGAACACGATTTATCTAACCTACATTATTTCAAATGTGTTAAGTGTTCTTTGAACCTAGTTTTTGTGGGACGCCTGGTTTGGCCTATATATGTTTTATCACAATCATTGCAACTAATTTCATATATTCCTGACTTTTCGAGTGTGTCCACCTTATCTTCTGGATTACCTAATAAATTGACTTCGATCCAGACTGATAAACGCTCTCAAAACCTCACCAAGTCCTCTTGTGTACTTGAGATCGGAAGGGCTTGGAATATTTCTTCCAATCCCTTCCAATCCTATTTCCATAACGAAGACAATTTGTACAGCGACATCTACTAGAATAAGATGTGACAAGATAGAGGTGGATATATGTACAAGATAGAGATGTATAGAAATTTAACTACAAGATCCTCACATTGCGATTTTCAACTGTTCATTGTTGTCAAGTTTGGGCAAAACAAAAGCGCATCAGTGATAACATCATCCCTGTGATCCGAATTGAGCTTATTGTTTTGAGCGCGCTAGTCACTAGTATCAGACCAGCAGTATCAGACACTGGTTTGCACCTCGGTTTGGGACCGAATTTTGATCGCGCTCATGTTACTCCCGAGCAGAATGGAATGGCCGAGCGACTCAATCGTTCAATTATGGAGAAAGTTAAATGTATGCTGGAAGACGCAAAACTCCCGAAGCCATTTTGAGGCGAAGCTGTTCAATACGCTGCATATCTCCTCAACAGATCTCCAAG